AGACGACTCTTGAGAGTTCCTGGGACTGCAAGGAGATCAAAACAGTCAATCCTAAAGGAAATCAGTCCTGAATATTCATTGGAAGGACTGTTGCTGAAGCTGAAGCTCCAATACTTTGGTCACCTGATGTGAAGGGCTGACTCATTGGAAGAGACCCTGATGCTAGGAAGGATTGAAGGCAGGAGGAGAAGAGGATGACAGAGGATGGTTGGATGGCATCACCGACTTAATGGACAGAAATTTGAGCAAGCTCTGGGAGTTGTAATGGACAGGGAAGCCTGGCATGCTGCAGTCCATGAGGTCACAAAGAGTTGGACATGAAAAAGAGACTGAACTGAAAGGAGGCAAGACTATACAATGCAGGAAAGTCAGTCTCTTCAATAAATGGCACTGGAAAACCTGGACAGCTACATGTAAAAAATGAAATTAGAAAATTCTTTACCACCATACACAAAAATAAGCTCAAAATGGATTAAAGACCTAAATGTAAGATCAGACACTATAAAACTCTTAAGAGGAAAACATAGGCAGAACACTCTCTGACATAAATTACAGCAATATCTTTTTTGATCCCCCTCCCATATTTATGGAAACAAAAATGAAAATAAACAAATGGGACATAATTAAACTCAAACACTTCTGTAGAGCAAAGGAAACCATAAACAAAACAAAAAGATAATCCACAGAATGGGAGAAAATATTTATAAACAATGTGACTGACAAGGGATTAGTTTCAAAAACTTACACACAGCTCATGTGGCTTAGTATCATAAAAACAAACAATCAAAAAATGGGTAGAAGACCCACACAGACATTTTTCCAAATAAGACATACAAATGGCCAAGAGGCACATGAAAAGGTGCACAACATCATTAATTATTAGAGAAATGCAAATCAAAACTATAATGAGATATCACCTCACACCCATCAGAATGGCCATTATTAAAAATATCAACAAACAATAAATGCTGGAGTGGGTGCGGAGAGAAGGGAAATCTCCTATGCTGTTGATAGGAATGTAAACTGGTATAGCTACTCTAGAGAACATTATGGAGCATCCTTTAAAAAATAGGAATAAAACTACCATATGACCTAGTAATCCCACTAATGGGCATGTACCCTGAGAAAGAAAGAAGAAAGAAAAGTTGCTCAGTCATGTCTGACTCTTTGTGACCCCATGGACTGTAGCCTATCAGTCTCCTCTGTCCATGGGATTTTCCAGGCAAGAGTATTGGAGTGGGTCGTTATTTCCTTCTCCAGGTGATCTTCCTAACCCAGGGATCGAACCCAGGTCTCCTGCATTGCAGGCAGATAATTTACTGTCTGAGCAACCAGGGAAGCCTGAGAAAACCATAATTCAAAAAGGCACATGTACCCCAGTATTCACTGCAGCCCTGTTTATGATAGCCAGGACATGGAAGCAATCTAGATGTCCATCAACAGATGAACACATAATGAAGTTGTGGTACATACATACAATGGAATATTACTCAGCCATGAAAAGAAATCAATCTTGAGTCAGTTAATCTGTAATGGATGAACCTAGAGGGTATTGTATAGAGTGAAGTCAGTCAGAAAAAGAAAAACAAATATCGTATATTAACGCATATATATGGAATCTAGAAAAATGGTACTGATGAGCCTATTTGCAAGTCAGGAATAGAGACGCAGATGTAGAGAATGGACTTGTGGACACTGCAGGATAAGGAGAGGGTGGGACAGATTGAGTGAGTAGTACTAAAACATATGCATTGCCGTGTGTAAAATAGACAGCTAGTGGGAAGCTGCTGCATAACACAGGGAGCTCAGCCCAGTGCTCTGTGATGGCTTAGCGGGGTGGGATGGGGGAGCTGTTGTGGGGGGCGTTGAGGAGGAGGGGATATATGTATACTTATGGCTGATTCATGCTGTTGTATGGCAGAAATCAACACAACACTGTAAAGCAATTCTCCTCCAACTAAAAATAAATTCTAAAAAATTATGCTTAAAGAACAAAAACCAAACAAACCAAAAAAAAAAAAAAAAAAACCAGTTGCTGTATGATTCTGCAATCCCATTCATGGGCACATATCCGGAGAAAAACACACGCACCCCAGTGTTCACCGCAGCACTCTTTAAAATAGCCAAGACAGAAGCAACCTAAATGTCCACTGACAGAAGAATGGATAAAGACTATGTGGTACATATATTCAATGGAATAGTATTTAGCCATTAGAAAGAATGAAATAGTGACTCCTCTGGTGGTCCGGTGGTTAAGATTTTGCCTTCAAATGCAGGAGGTGAGAGTTCAATCCCTAGTTGGGGAGCTAAGACCCCACATGCCTTGAGGCCAAAAAACTAAAACATAAAGCAGAAGCAGTATTGTGACAAATTCAATAAAGACTTTAAAAATGATTCACATTTTAAAAAAACTTAAAAAAAGAATGAAACAATGCCATTTGCAGCAACAGTGATGGACCTACAGATTGTCATACTGAGTGACGTCAGACAGAGAAAGACAAATATATGATGTCGCTTATATGCGGAATCTAAAAAAATGATACAAATGAATTGACAAAATGGAAACAGATTCACAGTCTTAGAGAACAAGCTTTTGGTTACCAGAGGGGAATGGGCAGGGGTGTGGGGCATGGGGGGTGGGAAGGATAGTTAGGGAGTTTGTGATTAACATACACATAGTACTATATATAAAATAAATAAACAATAAGGACCTACTGCTCAATAGTAAGGAACTCTGCTCAATAGTATTTAGTAAGCTAAATGGGAAAAGAATTTGAAGAACAGATACATATTTATGCTAGTTGAATCACTTTGCTGTATGTACACCTGAAACTAACACAACATTGTTTATCAAGTAAACTCCAGAAAGAAATAAAGAGTTAAAAAAAAAAGTTTAAGCCAAAAAGGAAAACTATCAAGCCCCAAGTAGCTTCAGGCACACTCAAATTATGAGATTTCAGTCATGTCATCAAAACTGTTTCTCCATACTCCATCCTGCCCCCAATCTCTGACCTCTGTTCTGGGACCTCTTCTCTGTGGGAAGGCAAAACATTCTCTCCAGATTCTATTCCCAATGGTGACATAAGTCAAAGAGCTGGAATACGTCTGGCAAGAACACAGGACCTGTGTGAAGAAAATTGTAAGAGACCTAAATAAATGGAAGAGAATTTCATGTTCTTAAAAGGGAAAATGCAATATTGTAAACATATTACTTATTTCCAAATTGATTTATAATCTAATCCCATTCTATTCAAAATCCTAAAGCAATGTCTTAGTGGATTCTTTATTAACTGGTTTTTAGAATTCATCTTAATTCACAAAAATAGCCAAGGACTTTTTTTTTTTAAAGAAGAATGGTGGAGGAGATTAAACTATAAAGCCAGATGTTCAAATATGTTCAAATATACAAACATATAGTAATTGAGACAGAGTGCTATTAGTAAAGAAAAAGATAAGTCTACAAACTAGATAATACATTCAAATTAGCTAGGAAAAAATGAACCATCTATAAACAAGGCTGAAATACTACCCCAACTCTTAGAAGGACTGTCCTACTTCATGCTGATACCAAACGCAAGTTCATGTGCCCCACACACAGTGAAGCCAAACAAATTGAAATGACAAGAGTTTGGAGCACAGATTTATTGCAGAGCTCTACAAGGAGAAGGTGGCTCCTACCCTCAAGCCTGGAACTTCTCAGTTTCAGCAAAGCACTTCTAAAGGCAAGGTGAGGGAGGGGGAGGTTAGTTGTTGCAAACTTCTTGGTGTGGGAATCCTTTGTTCTTGCCCACATAGGTCAGGTCATGATGGTCCTGTAAACCTCCAACAAGACAGACACTATTCTCTGACTTGCAACTTTTTATCTATATATGAATAGACTCTTAAAAGTCAGAGCCCTGAGAATAGGCTATCCTGTATATTTCAGACAGTAAGCAACATACTTTTACAAGAGGTGCAGAGGCAGGATGACTAAGCATTGGCAACAAAGCACAAATGTTAAAGTAAAAGGAACAGATCAAGCATAGAGTCAGATTTGTTTTTCCCTATTACAAAACTACATTAAAAAGGATTCCAGAATGGATCAATGACCAAGGACATAAAATACTTTCTTTGTAATCCTGGGACAAGAATGACCTTCCTAAAGAAGACAAACACCAAAAGATGTAAAGGCAAAAGCTTAGGATGATTTAACACTGGCAAGGGAGTGAACAGCTAAGCATTCCCTGACCTGGTCTAAATTTGGATTGGTAGAACCTCTTTTGAAAAGTAATTTAGCAGCAGCTCAATTTGAATACATATCAACTGTGACTCAGAATCTTTTTCTATAATTCTTTTCTGTAGACATAATAATGCAGGGCTATGCACATAGGCAAAATCCATGCAATATTGTTTCCAATAGCCCATAAGGGGAGAAACACCCTAAAACACAAGGCAATGGAAAGTTAAATCAGCTTATCCTGCCATACGGAGCAAGTCAGAACAGAAAGCAGAACTGCATGTTCTGAAGAGAAAAGGCTTGTAAGATGAGGCAACAAAACAGGTCCAATTGTTTATAAAATGCAAGTAAAGTAATGGCCAGGAAGGCCTGGTGCGACACTGCAGTTTTTTAATTTTATAATCAAATAGTTAATATTCTCATTGTGTCAAAACAATTTCAAGCTAATGCCAAATGGAAGACCAAGCTCAGGAATGTAAAGAGGAAAACAATCTTACAAACAAGAAGGGACACCAAGGGAGTGGTGCACTCCAACTAAACTATCAGTGGCCACGACGGTGCAGCCAGCATCATCCAGATTACTGAGCATTTACCGCATCATCAATGTGCAGAATGCTCCAGACAGTTTCAGTTGTTAGTGTCAGTACTGACTGAAGCCAACAAAGGCTGAACAATCAGTTCCTCCAAAACCCTGGAAATACCACCCTTTTGGACATTAATGCCTATAGTTTTCTCCTTGGGCATATCTGTTTTTCGCTTGTTTTTTGCTCTGTTACTGTAGAAATGGGATTCAGCCCAGCAGTTTTAGCTAGCATAGATGAAATGACCGCCACCACATCTGTAAAGGCACAGACGCAGTAGGATCTCATACCACTCAATATTCATGCATATCCAGCTAACCACAGGGCCCACTATTTCTGGAGCACACCCTCCCAACAAGAACAGCTTTCTGCTTCCCTCAACAACGAATCAGACATAGAGAATCATGAATCAAGGGCTCAGCTTCTTCAAGCCTGATTTGTTAGAACCAGGAACCACAACTGCAACCTTTTCCTGGGCTCATACAGCCTGTAACCTTGAGCAGTTTGCCAGAATCATGAAAACTGATCCCCTCGGCTCACTCACCCAAACCCAACATGTCAGCAGCAAGTTGGTCAGTATGAGCAAGTGGCTTGGTTCCAGTCTCTTTCAATTATCCTTAACTACCACAATATTCATTTTGATCAGGAAAGTTAACACAAGATCACTAAGATCGTGTCTTAAGAAGAGAATTCTATTTTTAAAATTTGCTTCACTTAGAACATAGGCTGTCTTCCCTCAGGGCTTGGCTGCACAACAGAAACTGATTATCCTGATCTGCTTTTAAGCCCAATCTTAGGCTTTTCAGTTCTGGCTATGTCAGAATTGGCCACCTTTTGGTTGAGAACCAGCCCTTCCACCAACTCACAATCAACTGTCCGTGCAAGTTTCCCGCCCCCACCTGCCTCTTTTTTAAAATGACGGTTTATTTAAACTAAAAACAAACAACAGTTTCACCTATTTCTCTCATCCTCCACCCTTTACCTCTGGCAACCACTAACTTATTCTATCTATAAGCTTGGTTCTTTATTATTTTTTAGATTCCATCTGTAAGAGAGATCACACAATATTTGTCTTTCTGTCTGATTTATTTCACTTAGCATTACACCCTCGAGGGCATTAGCAAGTTTCTTAGCTATTCTGACATCTCTAAGATCTATGCCAGTAGCTGTGGTGGGTCGGTCATTCTGCTCCCTGCATTTACACTTGAATACTGAGAGACAATGGCTGAGTTCAACAAAATGGTTGCACTGTTTAGCAACTTTTCTCTGTCACTTGGTTCCACAGGTCAAGGCACGTCAAGACTTCAATACCCTTTTCCAAATCCTCTAGGATGACTGAGAAATAATAAATCCATTTCTGAAAAAAGTTGTTAGAGCAATCGGAGAGAGAGCGTGAGCCAGCAACAATGACCACTGATGTGGCGCCACTTCCCTGGTTCTCTTGAGCCATGGCTCTGCCAGCATTCTGGCTGCTGGATGTAACACTCGTGTTTGTTTCAGAATGCTAGCACCGTTCGTAATGGTCTCATTACCTCTCCCATCTTGAACCATTTTATCCATTCCTTTTGGTTCAAGTCTTGTTCTAATAGCATCAGCAACAGCTTCATCTATGGAGACACTGCTGAAGCAGATCTAGGCTAGCTTTTTATCCACACAGGCACTTTTCCCCTGGCTGCTGACAAGCTTGGCTGGGTCCGTGAGGGCTCCAAAAGGACACATGGACACAGATTCCAGTGGGCAGCAGGATAACTATGTCCACTGAAAGGGATCAGAATGTTACCCCCAAATATGCCACTTCGGCATACTGATTAATCTGAGCTGAAGAAATCTGAGAAATAGCATACAGAGGAAGGGCTCTCTCTTCTCCCTCTTCCTGCCCAAAAGGAGGGTATAAATTTCCCGTGAGAAAGGTGACTTTTTGTACCAGGAAGGGGAGAACACTTCTATTACTGGCAATGGGAGTTAATACCAAGATGAATCTGCATTAATTTTACTAAAATAATCCTCATCTTCCATTTGCTTCCCCCATTTATTTCCTAGTCACTGTCCCACAACAGATTGGGTTGGTCAAAAAGTGCATTTGGGATTTTCCATAAGATGTTACGGAAAAACCCACATGAACTTTCTGGCCAATGCAAAATGACCCCTGGAAGTCCAACCCTTTTCCTTTGTTTAGTCATGCTTGTGTGGCTCAGTTGTTTCTGACTCTTTTGAGACCGCACAGACTCGCTCCTCTATCCATGGAATTTTCCAGGTGAGAACACCGGAGCAGGCTATCATTTCCTACTCCAGGGGATTGTCCCAAAACTGGGATTAAACCGTCACCTCCCGCATTGGCAGATAGATTCTCTACCACTGAGCCACCTGGGAATCCCTTGTTTAGTCATATCGCCACAATTTACCATTCTTTGCTAAAATGGTATACAAACCCCAAGTCTGTTTCTTTTTCACTTGTTTTCTATAAAGTCCCCTGTAAAAAACAGCAACAAATAAAACGTGTATGTTTTCCTCCTGTTTTCTATCTTTTGTCTTCTAAATTCATAGGCCTCAGGTATAGTATCTAAGAGGGTCAAGTTTTCTCTCTCCATCAGCTTCAACTGATGAGCTGACTTCAGAGTGGAAGGTGAAAGATATGGATTTGCTAAGTGCTTGTGTATCGATTAAATGTTTAAAATGTTTGTCTGTGCTGTATTTAAAGGGATAATAAAAGGAAACTGTCAATCAAGTTACTCCCAAGAATAAAGGCTTATTGAATCCCAAGCAACACCATTATTTTTTAAAAAGATGCATAAATTTATTAAAACTAAAGATTTAAAAATTTATTGAAATCAGAAAAATAAAATTTAATAAATTTCAATACATTAACTCTAGAAACCAAGAAGAATTTAGAAAGGATTCCTTTAAAAAGATTTACTATTACATTCTTTGTCAGACTGTGACTCAGGGAACTTGTGGTATCATTTTACACCCCTGACATACTGCCTTGATAAATCAATCAGTAGTAGCACATGAAATCATGGATAGATGAGAGACGCATATCCACTCTTATCCAAATGTAGCAAATAGCCCCACATTTCGTAGTTAATGATAAGCGGTTTCTTCTGTAATTCTTTGGAGCAATAAGCCTTTGGACCCCTGTGTCCCCCATTTTTAAAAGAGCCATTTATGCCTTTGTCCCAATATATTGGGTTGTCAGGAGTTAAAACGCTGGCTGAAACACTGCAGGACTCCTTATATGAATGCAGATAAAAATGTCTCAGAAGGTGGTTTACTCTGATTTGGTCTTTCACATTTCAAATTTGCTTGGTTGGTCAGAGTTAGGCAGGCAGAAATGAGTTAAGAATTTTAGAACTCACGATAATTTTATCCAGAAGTAGATTATGATTATTGCTGTCCAGTATGAGAGGAATAACCAGACCAGCTGTCTTTCCCAAGATGGCTGCAATGAGTGGCTGAAGAAGAGGCAAAATCCATCCTAAAACGGGAGGAAGAAGAGAATTAGTTTCATAATACTCAAAACCTGTACTCAGTTAAATATACAGAGCTTCTGGATGAAGCAGTAAGACAACTCCCGGATTTAAAAAGTTAAAAAAAGGTTCTGATCAGTAGGTTACTTGTAATTAGGAATCTTTCAGTTAGGGTTTGTAAGAAGTTGTCTAACACAGGAGGAACATAGAGGACATGATTTTGTCACTTAGAGCAGGAATCCTCATCTTTTACTCACGTCTTTCAAAACCCAAGAGGAAAGTAGAATACTATATCTGTTTTTTCCTGATCACAAAACAGATGCCATTTGGGAAAATGACAAATTACTAACTTGAAAGGTATCTCCAGAGACAATAAAGCAAGTAGTTCCATTCGGAAAAATGGGCAGGAAGGGACCTGAAATCCAGACTGTGGCATTTAAACTGCAGCTGAGAGAGATGTGGGCACTTCTTTACCCAACTGGACAGTTTCTGCTTTTTGATATTAAAAGATTATTCTTTACTCAATGGTGATTAGCCAAAAGTTAAGGGGGAAAAAAAAAAACCAACACTTCCCCATCAATTTCCTCTTTAGTGTGAAGGGCTCTTGGGGGCCAAATGCCTTGTTAAGACAAATGGCTCAGGTGAGTTTCTGACAATTCACAGGCCTGGAGAGTTGAAGACCTACGCCCCCATCCCTTCATATACCAAAAGGATGAAGTTAATGCTAACACCTTAAACTGTTCATATAAGGTCAAGGTTCTGACTCAAATACTATCCTTCCTCCACAAAAGGAACGCAATTCATCAATACAGGTCTGTCAGGAAATTGCAAACAGTGCAGTGTCTTCCCCAGATTATTTTTAGATTATGTTACAACTGCTTTTTAGATTATGTTTTTAATTGCTGGTTTTAATAATTTGGCTGCATTTCTTCTATAACTTGGGTCACTACAGTCATTGCTCCAACTCCAGTAAGGAAGAGAAGAAAGAAGCAGGGGTCTCGCTCAGAACCCAGCAGGGCATTCTACCCTCTTACTGAAGGCTGGCCAGACTCTCCTTGGTCATTGGCTTGGTTTTGGAGCCGCAGTGCAACTCCTGCTCTAGCCTAGACCACAGAGATCAATGACTTACAGCTGAGAGCCTGGGCGGCTGGCTCTCTCGCAATTGAAGGCTGAGTGTGATAAATCAGAAGTTAAGGAACCTCAGGTCAGCACCACCACAGGGTGCCCGCGCACATCCCACCGCCAAACACCTCTGCCTTAGTGCTTCCTGAGGGATGTGGGGATGGACCAGGGGCTGCTTTTTTTTTTTTTTGCTTTTTCATTCTAATGAAAAAGGCTGGTGTGCTCTGACCTGCAGCGCTGTGGGGTCATAAAGAAAGGTGCATCTAATAAGTTTCGTATAAAGAATCCATCTGGCCCAGGTCACCCCATTGCTGACTTCACCACTTCGGGAGTCTACTTAACTAAACAAAGCATCCAGACCTACCATGAGCACACCCTACAAGCGGAGGGTGGTCAAGGGAAGGGCCAAAGTGTGCAAACCCAAGTCGGGTGCTGCGTTTTCAGAACGGTTTAGTATGCGAGCTGTCTAGTTGGGCCTGTTTCGGCAACTGCCTCTACCGGTACAGAAAGTCAGAATTCACCCCAAACTTCCCAGTCCTGCTGAAACGAATGCTCTACAGGGCTGGCGCCTCGGAGTCCCTCCGCTAGCCGGCTGTGGCTGCGTGTGCGCGTCCCAGGCCGCCCACCAGCCCCGCGTCCTTAGCGCTCACCCAGCCGCCGTTGGCCATCAGCCAGGCGCGGTGCCTTTCGCAGAACTGGACACACAGAAGGGCCACCAGGAGCCGACAGTCCCTGCTAACGCCGTCGTCGTCGTCTCTCTTCTGCCGTCGGGTCGTCTGCGGCGGCCTCTCCAGCAGCGACCCCGCGAAGGTCACGAGTGAGGCCACGCGTCCCCAGCTGGGGCCAGGGTCTTCGTCGAGTAGCCTCTGCGCCATCCTGGCCACCAGCTCGACGCGGTGCCTGCGGCAGCGGCGGTAAAGCGGCAAGACGTTTCGATTTGCTTCCTGGACACGGGCGGCCACGTGGCGCAGCACGGCAGCCTCGGGCGTGGAGGGCGCAGGAGCGGGAGTGCCGGGCTCCCGGGCGCAGAACTCGAGGTAGTCCACCAGTAGCCGGGCGGTGCGCTCCCTAAACGGGTCCACCATGGCTCCGCCTCTACCGGGTCCGACCCGGGCCTGTTTTCTGGGCCTGCCGGCGCCCCGCCCCTCCTCGCGCTGGCTCCGCTCAGCCCGCCCCCACGCAGTTGCTTTCCCAGGTCTGGAGAGGGGCCTTTGATGGGAATCCCATCTACACTTGTTCCGGTCCCAACAGCCAGGGCCCCGTGTGCATGGATTCACGTAGCAGTCAGGGTCAGAGTGAGACTCTGGGGGTTATTGTTTCTAGCTTTCGGCTTGGGGACTAAGAACCCAGAGGGGACAGTTAAGGCAAATGGGCTAGACTGGCCTCTCCTTTAGGAGAGGTTCCCTGGTGGCTCAGATGGTCAAGAATCTGCCTGCAATGTGGGAGACCAGGGTTTGATCCCTATGTGGGAAAGGCCCCCTGGAGAAGTGAATGGCTACCCACTCCAGTATTCTTGCCTGGAGAATTCCATGGACAGAGGCGCCTAGGGGGCTACAGTTTATGAGTGGAACACGGGTGAGCCACCGACATTTTCTTTCATACCAGGAGAGGTTGACAAAGGCTACACACAGCCCTCCGCTGGTGACTCCCTTGAAAGTGTTATCAGCATTTTCTCAGATTGGATGGAAGCATCCAGGTGTGTGTTGGAATCTGGCCATACGGGACAGGAAACAGGGTAATTCTCCTGCATGTTGCTACTAGAGTACCAATATTAGCTACTTTTGTGCATTCATTCATTCATTCACTGATTTACTCCTAGCCTTTGGGGTGCTAGGTCTCCCCCTTAGCACTGGAGATACAATGGAGAACAAGGCATGTGGTCCCTGCTCTTAAGGACCCTACAGTCTAAGTGATGGGACAAAGAAACGGCCAATCACAGCACAGTTAAACTGTCGTTATAATAGAATTGTCCGGCTTTTGGCTGTTTCTTATAGCTACCATTCTTATATTACTTAGAATTCTCCACTTTTTACTAGCTAATCCCTCATTACTCCACTCCCCTATTATAGTTAATATACTTCTTATACTAATCTTTCTCTGTTCATGTTATTCCATGGCTTCTTTCTCCTGAATGGACTCAGGCGGACACAGAATTGGTATCAGCTGTGAAATTTGTGAGGGTTCATTGGTCTGGAGCATTTTGAAATATCCCCACCGGGGTGAAAGATGAATAGCTGTATCTTGTATCACCTACAAAAAGAAAGAGGCACAAACTTGGTAGGTCACTTTGGAGGCAACATACACATCTGAGTATGCAACGTCAACCCATCTACAGGCTGGTGGATTTGGGAGTAAAACAAGAGAAGGCTCTGCAGCTGTTCAGGCTGAAGTACGAGCTGATTTCCCAGGTGGTGCAGTGGTAAAGGATCTGCCTGCAACGCAGGAGATGTGAGTTTAATCCCTGGGTTGGGGAGATACCCTGGAGAAGGAAATGGCAACCCAATGCAGTATTCTTGCTGGGGAAAGCCCACGGACAGAGGAGCCTGTGGGCTACAGTCCATGGGAGTGACTAATCAGCAACAAGCTGCTGTACCACTTGGGTCTGGTGATCCAAAAGTTCCAATGATACTTGAAGTGTCAAATAGGGAAGCTGGATGGAATCTCTGACAAGCACCAATAGCACTGCAGTGCAGACCTCTAGGATTTTAAAGCAAATCTATGTCCTCTTTTGCCAGTAACTAACTATTCTCCTTTGGAGAAGCAGGTTCTGGCTTGCTACTTGGTAGAAGCTGAATGAGGTGATCAGGCAGTTTGAGATCTAATCATAATATGGATGCTGTTGGACCTATCTCGTTATAAAGTTAGGCGTGCACAGTAGAAATCTATCATCAAGTCGAAATGGTATATAAGAGACTGAACTCAGGTCCATGACGTAGGATTGTATAGGTGGGTGGCTCAGACCGCTGCAACACCAACTCTTGTTGCTTTGCCCCCTCATTCCATGCTTGTGGCCTCCAGGGAGTTGCTTATGATAAGCTGACTGATGGAGAAGAACTCAAACCTGGATTGTAGATGTTGTATTGTTGCTTAGTTGCTCAGTCATGTCTGACCTCATGAACAGCAGCACACCAGGCTTCACCGTCCTTCATGATCTCCCAGAGTTTGCTCAAACTCATATCCACTGAGTCGATGATGCCATCCAACTATCTCATCCTCTGTCACCCCCTTGTCCTTCTGCCCCCAATCTTTCCCAGCATCAGGGTCTTTTCCAATGAGTCAGCCCTTCGCATCAGGTGCCCACAATATTGGAGCTTCAGCTTTAGCATCAGTCCTTCTGATGAATATTCTGGGTTGATTTCCTTTGGGATTGACTGGTTTCATCTCCTTGCTGTTCAAGGGACTCTCAAGAGTCTTCTCCAGCACCAGTTTGAAAGCATCAGTCTTCAGCACTCAGCCTTCTTTATGGCCCAACTCTCATATCTATACATGATTACTGGAAAAACCACAGCTTTGGTTATACAGACCTTTGTCGGCAAAGTGATGTCTCTGCTTTTTACTACACTGTCTAGGTTTGTCACGGCTTTTTTTCCCAAGGAGCAAGCATCTTTTAATTTCATGGTTGAAGTCACTGCCCACAGTGATTTTGGAGCCCAATAAAATAAAGTCTGTCATTGTTTGCATTTTTTTCCCCCATCTATTTGCCATAAAGTGATGGGACCAGATGCCATGGCCTTAGTTTTTTGAATGTTGAGTTTCAAGCTGGCTTTTTCACTCTTCTCTTTCACCTTCATCAAGAGGCTCTTTAGTTCCTCTTTGCTTTCTACCGTTAGGGTGGTGTCATCTGCATATCTGAGGTTATTGATATATTGTAGATAGGTCTATATGATATGCTGGTACCACATGAAAGTGGATAGCTAGAGCCTTATAGTTCTGCTTGGGGTCGGGGGGTACTGTGAAGACAGTGGTGAAGGAAAATCCTCCCACCAGTTAGAAATTCAAGCAGGATATATGACTGTACCCTAAGTCTGGGGTGAGAGATGGTTAGAGTAGAGATCTACACTGAATCTTGGGCAGCTTCTGATGGTTTGGCTGGATGGTCAGGACCTTGAAGATTGGTGACAAGGAAATCTTGGACACAGCTATGTGGGTGAACCCCTCTGAACAGGTGCAGATTGAAGATACTTGTCTCCCATGTCAATGTCTCCAAAGGGTGGCCACTGTAGAGGATCTTACAATCAAGTAGACAAAATTCTGTGCTCTGTGGCTATCAGAGAGCTTCTTTACACAGCTGCCACGGTGCCTGCCCTGTGAATGCCCATGAAGAGGCCATGCAGCAGAGACAGAGGATGTGGCCCTAACAGAACTCCCTCTGTGAAGGCTGAGCTGGCTAATGCTAGTGCTGAGGGCCTGTTCTGCAAGTGCCAGTGATTGATATGGTGAGAAATGAATTTTGCCAGAAGGGAATATAAACGTTGTCAAAAAGAGCTGGTTGAAATATCTTATGAATTTCCTTATTATGTTAAATGTTTTGATATAAGTTCATGTTTTATTTTCAAGTTAGTCATGATTTTATATTTTATTAGCAAGCACACACTTTATATTTTATTAGCAAGCACACAGTTTTTTCTTAGATTTGGAGTAGCCTGGGTGTTAGTAGTAAATCCTCTGGCCCTGCCATTGGTTAGTATTAGCTAAATCAAACAAATGGATAAATTAACCTCCACACAGAATTTCTTATCCAGTTTGCAGTCAGACTTGGCTATAATCCCTCCTCTGCCACTTAGAAGCTGTGCAACTGTGAAAAAAGTTTTTCAGCTCTCCCAGCCTCAATTTCCTAAACTAAGAAATGGAGGTGATAAACTGTCTGCATCATACTTTGTTAAAAGGGTTACATGAGTTGGTATGTACAAAGGCTTTAGCATACTGCCTGGCACATAGTAAAAGCTCTTTACAGAGGAGCTTGTATTATTAATATGAATTGATCAAGGTTACCAGGCTCACTTGCCCCACTTCTAACCAAAATGCAATTTGTGACATTTTTGGTGAGCCTTACCTATATGGTTTCTGGTTTTGTTTTTAAAATACTGAAAGTAGCTAGAGACCACCTACTATTTTTTCATATACATTTAAACAGCTTTATTGTGATATAATTCACAATACCACAAAATTCACTTTTAAAGTATAGATTTCAGTGGGCTATAGTATATTCAAGGTAGTGCAACCATCACCACTATGTAATTTCATTATCTCGAAGGATATCCAATCTTTTAAGTAACCAGTGACCTACTTTCTGTTGCTATGGATCTGCCTGTTCTGACATTTCATGTAAATGGAATCATTCACTATGTGGTCCTATATGCCTGGCTTCTCTCACCTGGTATGTTTTCAGAGCTCATCCATGTTGTAGCTTGAATCAGTACTTAATTCCTTTGTGTTGCTAAATAATATCCCATTGTATAGACATACCACATTTTGGCCATCCATTCATCGGCAGCTGAACCTTTGAGTTGTTCCACTTTGAGCTGCTGTGAACATCTGTGTTCAAGTTACTGTGTGGACGTGTTTTCATTTCCCTCGGGTAACACCTAGGAGGGGAGGCCACCTATTACTGGGGAACACAGACAGGTTGGAAACAGTGACTTCTGGTTCCTGGTTTACATGAGTAACCAGGCAAATGTTAAGCATTCCCCAGTGGTGTGTTGGTTAGATACCCTGGGGTTCAAAGATAGGCAATTTTTGTTGTCACAGTCTTTGCATAAATGTTCATATCATATTTGCATTGAGTTTTTCTTATGTATGTGGTTAAATCAATCAGCACATTGTTTCTGACCCCATCTCCTCCCTAGGGGGTCTGCATCCTTTTCACAACTACAGAAACATATTCACTTCTTTCACCAGAATTAGTGGGAGACTGCCCACTGTGGAGACGGATCAGTCCTGAAGGCCAGCCTAGCTAGCACCAAGCCCTGGTTAGAGAATGAGGGGTTGGGAGATACTCTGAAGAGTGACCTGATTCTCCCCCGTCACTGGTGAGACAGCGAGTGGTTTAGCTTCGTGGGCTCCCAAAGGATCTACAGACAAGAAGATTCACTGAGACCTTTCCCCAGCTTGCCCCCTCATCAGAATTCCCAGCCCACTTCAGTCCTGCCTGATCCTGATCTCCAGGGGACAGGCCTTAGGGTCTGTGTGTTTAACCTGCTGTCGAGCCAGTGGGCACATTTGGGGAATGCAGATCTACAAATGCCTGCTCAGTCAGCAATCCTAGGCTTGGAGGGAAGCTCCAATCCCAGTGCCAGTTAATCTTTGAACTCAGCAGCTGAGCTTACCCTGGAATCCCAAGGGTCTTCCTTTGAAAAGACTGTCAGAGATTCACAGCCCCTGCTGGTCTCTTGCCTTGCCCGCTGTCTCTCTGTGCCCAGATATGCTGCTTTCAAAGTCAGTATGACCCTGGGAGTCCTTCTGGGGGACCCTCCAAAGTCAAAACTATTTTCACAATAATACTGACTCCTTTTTTGTACGTGTGTCTTTTAAAACTCTGATTTTCTCAGGAGTTTTCAAGAGGCTACTGATGGGTAGTAGAATATGTGCTTCTGGAATCCTGTGTTTTATCATTTTTCTCAGTTTTCATTTCTAATATGATAAATATTGATAGATATAAGCAACATAAACAAAAAGCTCTTTGTGGTCCTCAATAATTTTTAAGAGTGTAGAGGGATCTTTAGATGAAAACATTGAGAACCACTAGCCTAGAGGAATCTTTAATAATTACTATTTTGATATATGAGTAGGGGCTGTAGGAGTGAGAGGAGAGTAAAGAGTGAAAAAGGAGGAGGAGAGTAGGGAGGAGGGGGGAGGGAGGAGGAGGAGAGAGACATGAAAGAGGTGACATAAGAAGAGAGAGGAGGGAGGAGATGGGGGGACAAGGGGAAGAATGAGGGAGAAGGGACAGGAGGAGTTGAAAGGGAGAGGAAGAGAACAGGAAAGAGAAGAGGGGAAGGAACTTTAGAGCTCTCCCATTTCCTAGATGAGAAAACTGAGGCTGAGAGGCATTTAGATATTATACATCCTGTAAAAGTGGAAAAGCTCGGTCTAAACCTTTGTCCCCATGCTGCCCCCCTCTTAAGATCAATCAAGTGTTAGAAGGTTCACCTTCTAGCCAGATGGCCAAGCAACTAGGAGAGGCCAGGTTGCAAGGGCCCTTAGAACTTGTGCTATTTTAATGTCACTTACAATCCAGTGAAGGGTGTGGAGGAGGCCCAGGATGGGAAGAGGGAAGTGGATAATGGGTGCCTGCTCTGGCCCGGGGCTCACTCCAGAGCCCTGAACCCAGACCCACTTCTGGGAGGCCAGCCACTCACTCCCTCAAAGCAGCTGCCTTGGTTTTAGTTCACAGGTATTTCCCACACCACCTGTCATCACACACCTCCTTGTTAAACCCCTTCTCTGCCTAACCTTTCTCTTCTCTGCCTGGAAAGGGGGTGTCCCAGGCTGTGCACACCTGTGGGCACATCTGTTTGGCCCCTTCACCACAATGGTTTAGTACCTTTGCCTCCTAGTCCTCTAAAAAAAAAAAAAACAGAAAACCTGATTAACAAACTCCACTATTATTTTCAATATGCAAAATACGATTTATTACCTAAAGTTTATCCCTGAATATCCATGTAATCTGGTATATTCCCAACCAAGTATTTCATCAATACTACTACTAAACAACACCCAGGTGAGATTAAATACTTATAGGGGAGGTGGCTTAATGCCCATGGGAGTGAGTGTTGGAGGGAATACTTTCTTAGGGCCCTGAAAATCTCTTTTCTGATTGTAAAGTTAGGGACTACTTTGCACGTATACTGACAATGCCTCCCACCTCTCCAAATATACAACCTTGAATCTGCTTGAGCCTGACTGACTTCTCCTTTGCCCTGTCTTCCTTCACTTCTGGGAGGCCCAGGTCAGACTGCAGACACATGGAAGGGTCTGTGGGAGACAGGGAAGGAAGTACCATAACCGGGAGCCCAGGAACAAACTTGGGAGAACCTTCTGGGAGCAGAGCTTGGGGATTTCACAGGACACGTCGTGGGGCCAGCACTTCAGCAGTTGGCAGGAACCGGGTGGACCTGCTGCCCATTCCCCTGAGCCCCTGCGCGGAATGGAGAAGGTGCTGAAGGCTGTGCCTCCGGGCTCTGCTCCCGCCCGTCTTCTCTCTCGTTCTCAGGGTGGGAGAGCAGCAGAGATGGAGGGGGTGCAGACTGGGGGAGGTGAGTAGGGGCTTTTCACATTGTCTCTCTCTACTCCAGGACCTACTGTGTAGTAAACCCTTAGTAAATGTTTTCTTGGCAAATGATTGAATATAACCATTATGTTTATTTTAAGAGTTTATAGAAAAGCTGGCCTGGGGAATTTCTGACTCATTTTGACATCTGAATGAGTAGTTTTGTGGGTGGGCCTGTGCACCCCGAGGTTTACAGGGGCACGAGGCCCAGGCCTATCCGAGAGCTCCAGGCGTCGAAGGGCCTCTGCACAGCAGGGCCCGGGGCTGGGCCTGCAAAGCTGGAGCTACCATCAGGAGAAGGGCCGTGAGAGGGGACCGAGGATCCGGGGGACTCGGCACGCGCAGCCCTCGGACACCACAAGGACATGGCCCGGCAGACCCAACCACCCAGAGGGCAAGCCTCACCCAGGAATGGTTTTTGGTTTGAGGTGACCTTTTATTTCCCTAAGTTTGCATGCTGTCTTCATGAATGAGGAGTTTTCTAAAACAAAGGATAAGTTTCTACACTTGAAAATAAGGGATCCTATAACTAAAGCACTTGGTATCGTCCAGAAGGATCTGCTGAATTTTAAATAAAGGCAGGATATTATGTTTTTTCCTCCATATAAGTGAAGCAAAGACATCATCATTCAAGAGCTATCAATCTGTGTATATAATTACATTTGCAATGCAATAAATACGAGTATAACTGATATGGACAAGATTCACTTTAGCCTGAGTAGATGCTACTAATCCTAATACATCTAATACCACAAATCGGTTTTCAAATAAGTTTACTGTCCTCTGTTCCCACACAGAAAGGTTTTGGTTCCTCTGAGAAGCGTTTGTGTCCCAAACAGCACTCAGTTTTTCCCTCTAATGATAGAAAATGTCCCATCCTCCTGATACAAGCCACCGTCACAAGATGCACAGATCAAACCTGTCTATTTTACCCATATCTCTGCTTCCTTTGTAACATGGAAATGTTTTACCTGAAAAAAAAAGACAAGAGGAGGCAAGGCTGAAAAGGATACTTTCACAATAAAACCACATGTAAAAGAATTGATTTTGTCTCATTACATTTGGAATTGGAATTTTCTTCTAAGACCAAGTAATGTGGTCCTCACATAGTCCATTAAAATCAGCAGTTCCTGGGGAAGGTTTCAAATGTCAGAATGTACACTGAGAAAAAACAGCTCTTAAAGTGCTCCGAAAAATAACCTGATTCCAGGAAACAAAACGGAATATAGTAAATGGTTAATTCTACTGGGAATAGTAGAATTCAACCAGGACTAGAGAATGAGTTGAGACTAGTATAATTTATAATAATCTTAAAAACAGATATATTTTCAAAAATGTTCAAAATGAAAAACACTGTACTGGAAGGTGTTCTCATAGTGTTGGAGGTTCATACTGGGATCTTTCCAGGGTGATGGTTTTAATAGTAATGTTGGAGACATTTGGTGAACTTTCAGTCACAGAGTTGCTCACTTGAAGCTAAGTTGCAAGAAACTCTCAGACTCTCTAGAAGTAAGATATATTTACATGTGATGATTTCAGATTCTATTCTCAGGTGCCTATGTGCACTGTGATTAAGCCCAGACCTGCAAAGACACAAACAGATAATCTTCAGTCTGTTTTTCAGTTGACATTTGTAAAACCTGAGTTTAAAGAGAGAAAATCAAAGTCTATAATACACAAACATACACACTGCGTCCAAAACAGAGCACTCACAGGTCTTAAAAGGATAATACTTCATTCCTAGCAACTCAAAGGTGCTTCTTTGCCCCTTGCTTTCCTTCTCCCTTAGTTAACTGTCTGAAGGGCATCTGTGGCTCCCTTGCTAAGGAATGGTAATTTTTAGACAGACAACCAGAATCCTCTGTATGCATCCAGCTCTCTGGGTATACTAACATGGCTTTATTAATTTAGCAAACTCTTGCCCAGGATGATGAAATCACAAATAACTTCACTGTTTATTTCTCGAATTTTGAAAAAAATCCATTTATCCTAAGACTGGGCTATTCAATTACTCATTTTAAGAATGACACACACTTCTTAGGATAATATGCAGCATCAAATGGCCAGCTACTTTTCTAGACAGTCTTTGAAATTCTCTCCCTCCTCTGACCCTGTGTCCAACAAACAATCTTAAGCTATGCCCCAAATTTGTTCAATCCTACTTAAGTCCCTCCATCAAAAGATTTACCTTCAATCAGACCCCTAAAACCTTTGGCAGATAAATATCTGCCTTTGCTCTCTCCTTCTGAAATGCTAATAAGACTGTCAAGTTTGTGATCTTCCACAATGAAGTAAGTTTTGCTTGCTGAACAGTTTTTTGGTGGCATTTCTAGGGAGCCAACACCTGACACAGTCATGGAGCTCTTTGAGAATCTAATAAAGCCATAAGGACACTATTCCTGGAAAAATGCACACATATACACAATTTAGCATATAACTGCATGGACTTCATAGGTCTCCTGAAGCCTCTGTGTGGACTTCACAGGGGTCTGTGACTGGATAAGGACCCTGGTGCTCCTGGGAGGTGAGATTGGCAATTGGATCTGTCACAGGCTGGAATCAGACTTTTAGGGTATCTGTGCTGGAATACATGCACTGATGGGAAACTCACTACCTCCCAAGGCAAATCATTCCTCTGTGGCTATAGACTTGAAATTAGAGCTCTCTTTTGGCTGCCCAGGTCCATCCTAGCTTACTCTGACCTCTCTGCTTTCAAGAAGACCAGTCACTCCTGCTCTCACACACACGGTAAAGTAGAAAAGCTTCTCTCTTACTCTGAGGGTATGATCCCATGATCCTGAGCAAAAGGCAGTCCCATCAGGGGAAACTCGCAGAGTACTAACACGGTTTTCATGTCCAAACAAGATGGAGACTCGAGACCCTTTGAGGACATCCCAGACGTTGATGGTATAATCATTGTATCCAGCAAACAGCAGGCGACCTTAAAGCAAGAGGTAAGATGGTCACTCAACCAGTTCCTTCCTTTTGTTTTTCTTTTCATGACTCTCATTCTTGCGCTCGTTCATTCATTCATTCAAGAAACAGTGCTTTAGTGCCCACTATGTGCCAGGCATTGTGGTTTGCCCTGGGGGTTCAAAGAGGAGAGAGCACAGTTGCTGGCCCCTGTGGAGGGTGATGGTGGGCAGGCTGACTCATGTATCATGGCAGCACTGTGTGGAAGGGGCTGTAATGGAACTGCTCAGCTATGTGTAAAGTGCTACATGATTATAGAGGAAAGGGGATCAAAGAGGATACTATGGGAGAAGCACTATTTGAGTTGGCCTTTGAGGGTTGAATAGGAGTTTGCCATGCAGAGAAGGGAGGGAAGATGATGTTCCAGGCAGCAGCAGCAGCACAAAGGCACAGCTGCATGACTAGAAGGTGTCTGGGAGAACCGAATGGTCCACTGACACAACATACCAGATATATACACAATACACCACAAATGCTGCCCTAACTTTCCCCGGGAGCCTCTCTGGCTGTGAAGGCAGAGGTGACATGAGCTTCGGGGCATTAAGGGGACTCTCACTTCACTCTCTCCACCTCTGAAAAAAGTCCCTTTTCAAGTATGAAGGGGAAAAATGGAAGGCTAGAGAGGAAATGCCTAAAGGCACAGAAGATGGAGTTCTGATATATCATTGTTCTGAAGAAGAGTGTGAGATGGGCCCAGCCTTCATTTATGGGCTGGGGAAGCTGCTTCAGGCTGGGCAAAACGTGGTGTCAAAAATGCACTGGAGGAAAACCCATGCAGGCGCAGACTCTTAGCACACGGGGCCATAGGAAGCTCAGCTGAGGGGAAGCTTGGTGGATTCTCTGAGTTCCTGTGTCACAGTCCCAGGAAAATCTCACCACTGAGGGAGAAGTCCACGCTGGAAGCTCCGAAGATGATGCTCTCTTTGGAATAGATGGCGACCTCCCTGTCTGCCCGGAGGTCATAGAGGCGACACTGGGGTGGCAAAGAAGACAAAGAGGCACTTGTTTCTGGGTCCTGTTTGGTGCATCAGTGATCACAGAGCTACAGGCAGGTGCCGTAGCTTGCGTGGTTTGAGGGTCAAGGCGAAAACCTTTCGTTTTCTCTCAGTATTTTCTTCCTCAATCCCAATTCTTACTATATCCCCATGGAGTACTGGAGATTCGAAGAAACAGCAAATGCAGATTTCTTTAGTACAAAAAACAAAATGTAAGCCTTCTTTTTTTTCTGATAAGGAATATGTGTTCACTGTAGAAAATTCAGAAAATCTCAGAAATGCATAAAGAAGGCAATCCTAGAGATATTTACTAACACCTGGCTACTTCCTCCAGTCTTAATTTACTTTAAAAAAAAAAATTACTTATTTGGCTGCAACAGGTCTTAGTTGTGGCACACACAGGGTCTTCAATCTTTATTGTGGCATGTAGCATCTTTACTTGCAACATGTGAAATCTAGTTCCCTTATCAGGGATCGAACCCGCAACCCCTGCATTGGGAGCTTGGAGTCTCAGCTACTGGACCATCAGGGAAGTCCCAGTCTTAATCTATTTTATGTGTGGATTTAAATGGGGTGGATGTTTCATTATTGCTTCAATTAGCCTGATGTTATGAACATTTTTAAATACCATTAATAATCTTCAAAAAATAGGATTAACGTGGTTGTTATATTCCTCATGTGGATATATCAGAATCTACTTAGCCATACTCTGCTAAGTGTCTTGACTGTGTCTAATTTTTCTCTTTTATAAATAAAATTATGAGGAAGCCATGATCATTTTGCTATCAAAATCTTTATATGCATCTTTAATATTTTCTTAGAATAGCTAAGGATGAAATCCTTAGAATTGTTTCCAAGAAATTCCAAAGGGTAAGGAAAGCTTTTAAAATTCCCCAAATGTATGCCCTTGTATTTTGTTAAATATTCTTTGGCATACAGAAGTTTTAAATTTTCATTATTATCAAACTCTCAATCTATTCCTTGTAATTTCTTTCACAATAGCCAACTAAGGTGAAATTCATTATTTAATAAGATATTTGCTATTTTGAGAGCACAATAAGGTTGTACCTACTGAAAAACAGGTCAACATTATTTTGCAACTAGTATCAAAAGCCTTAAAATTAGGCCAGTTTTTGACTCATCAAGTTTACGTATAAGAATTCATCCTAAGGAAAAAATAAGAGAGGTACCAAAAATACTTGCTTATGCAGTTTTTAACAGGGAAAAAAAAAATCCTTAAAAAAACCTAAATGTCCCCAGACTGAAGATTGGCTAGTAAATGATGACATATCCATAGTATGGAAAACTACTCAATCATTAAGAAAATATAATGTAGGAAAGTATTTATTGGCATGAGAAAATGTTCACAATCTATTGCTAAGTGCAAAAAGCAAATTATAAAACAGCATTTGTTTAAAAAGTAAAAAGAAAGGAATTTACTCAACTGTGATTTTTTCTTGTGTAGAATGATAAACAAAATTTAGTTTTTTCCCCCTAAGTTTTCTTTATAGAAGTCATATCAGTTCTGTAATCAGGAAAACAATTATTTTTGAAAAATAAAATTAGGTCAGCATATCTCTCCTTCAAATAGGAAAAGCTCTTAAGGACTTAAACATACCGTAGCATCATCTGATCCTGAAGCAAAGGCATCTCCACTTGGGTAGTACCTGCAGAGAGGAAGTGTGGGGAGAAGGCACTTAGAGCAGTGATTCCCAATCCTGGGTGACCATCAGAAGCCTCTGGGAAGGCCGTCCCATGCTGGGCCCTTGGACTCTAGGGACACAAGGACTCCTCGTTACAGAGACCAGAAATGGAGGCTCAGCCGGAAGGCCCCACTGGCCTACCTTAGTTTCTTCTCTGTAAACGGGACAGTTGATACTGGCCTTGCAGAGTGTTGGTGAGGATAAATGAGACAATATGTCTATTTGTATCTGACACTGAACACAGGCAGATGCCTACATCCTTACTTTCCCTTGATCACACACCTCATTCCAAAGGCTCAGGGATAAGACAGTGCTTATAAACACAGACACTGCAATTGAATGAAAGGGGACTGCACTGACCACTCACTATAGGGGATATTTTTGGCAAGTGACTTCAACTGGCCCAGCCTCAGTTTCTTCATCTGAAAAGTGAGGAGGATAATGCACATTTCCAATTGTAAAGACTGAATAAGACAGTATACACAAAAAACATGGCATGGGGCCAGATAAAATGCATGCAACAAATGACATTATTACTGTTACAGTCATCCTCTCCTCAATAATCAGGCCTTCTGGAGACAGGGTACTGTAAGTTGAGACCTGATGAACATTAGAAGAGGGTTCTGGGTTGAGGGAACAGCATGGGTGAGAGAATATGCAATTTTAAGCTGTTATTTCATGAATATATAGGAATTTATTTTTGTGGCTTTATAGTCTATCCTGTATCTTAATAACTCCATCTACTGTAGTAATTTCTCAAATTATTTCCTTGGATTTTCTAGGTAAATCTCTATACACCTGCAAAAAGTGATAGTGTTTTCCCTTCCTACATTTAAGGTCAGTGAGCTAGAAAATCCTCATTAACATTTCTACTAATAAAGTAATTATTCTTACTGTGTTCTAGTTTTTAAGGGGAATAAGTCTAGTGCTTTCCTCTAAGTATAATGAAGATTCTTCAGTGGTTGTACTTTAAATGCTGTCCTGATGGTGCCATGTCTCAAATGTATATGTTAAGTCCTGACCTCTCTCTTGGAATCCAGTTCACAGATCCAGCTACCTACTTGACGTCTCCACTTGGTCATACAGTAGCATCTCAAGCTTGGCTAGCCCAAGACAGAATTCCAGAATCCATGTGCAACCATTGCCTTCTCCCTGCACTGCTTCCAACCCTTCCGCAAACGGATCAATGTTTACTGTCCCTTATAAAAGATTCGGGTTCCCTGAGCTCAGGGTTCTCCTCCTGAAATGCAATTCCTTGCATGCCCAGGTGTCATTTAGTCCTTTGCATGTCACCCTGTGATAACTAGCATAGCTACAACCATCACTATTAGTAATCAACTATCCTTCATCTCTAACTCAGGAATCTTATGCCTTTTTCCAGCATCCACAAAACTCTGGCAGCCTTAACTTGAGAGTCTGGAATTAGGCTAAAATCTCAAATCCTTCCCAATTCGAAACCTTTCTATACTCACAGTGTCTTCTTTAGTTTCAGCCAGTATCATTTCTATCTGGAACTCACACAACAGCCTTATAACTGGCCATAATACTTCCATTCTCATCCCCCTACAATGCATTCTCCAAACAGCAGCCAGAGTGATCTTTTAAAGACAAAACATGCATCATGTTAGCCACCTCAAGTGGTCACCTGGCCTTTTGTTAGGTCCCTGAGCATCTCATCTCCCTGATCCTCCTCCCAGCTCTTTGAAAGCCTGCCTCCTTCACTATCCTGGTCTCAATTTAAACATCAATTTCTCAGAGATGCCTGACCAGTCAAAGAAATAACCTATCTCCATCACAGTTCCCTGTTTTACTTTTCAATGGAACTTATCAGTATCTTTGTACACTGTACATTTATCTGTGCTTTGTCTTGTTTGTCTCCTATAGGAAAGCAGAAATTTTTATCTTGTTTAAAACAGTATTCCCAGTTCCTGGAATAATGTTCAGCAAATAAGTACTTAATAAATATTGGTTGAATGAATGAACAAAAAACACTGACTTTGTTTAGACAGGAAATAGCCATTGCCTCTGGTGCAATTACACTGAAATTCTCCAAGAAATCTGGAGTACTGTTCGGTCTCACCACACATCAGCTCTTATTGCTGGAAAAGCCTCTCAGCAAAGTAAACTGAGGCTGGAGGCTAAGCATTAGCCCAGGCTGGGAGACAGCATAAAATAGAGAAGCAATGTGAACATTCTACTCACGGACCGGACACTATTGATGTCAGATTCGTGTGTTTCAAAGGCCTGCACGCACTGTCCAGAGCGCATGTCCCACACCATGGCTTTCTTGTCACATCCCTGCAAACGCAAAGTTACCCAGAGTTATGACTACTGCAAGGACTGCCCACAGACAGGTATGAGTTCTGGTTATGCCACAGAGATCGTTCAGTTCCCATTAGTAAATGGCTCTGACAACATGCCTTTTTTTTTCTGAGACTAGCTTTATTTAAGGCCACTTCCCTCTGACCTCAGAAGTCAGAGCTAGGTCCTGGGGTAGGTGGAGCAAAAGAAGGTACCCAGACACCCTTTTTAGCATGTTTTCTTCTCTGCTATCTTTCTAAATGGCTGCAAGTCCTCCAGGGCCTCCTTCTCCCCTTCCTCCTAGGCAGTTCTCTTCATGTTTCCCCCTCCTCTTTATCTCTGCTTCTGTAAGGCCAGAGGGGAGGGCAAGTGGCCAGTGGGTATGGTGGGACCCCCCAGGCTTGCCTCAGGTGTGTGGGGCAGCCTGAACACAGGTGGACAGCCAGGTGCTCCTGGCCAGCTGCAGCCCAGCAGCCTAGTCAGGGGGCTGCCTGCAGTCAGCTGGGTGGCTCAGGCAAGTCACCTCCCTGGGTTTCCGCCTCAACACCTATAAAATGAACCCTCTCTGGGTAGTTAACATGATCCAGAGACTCAAAAACACCAAGCTTATGCATGCTATCCTGATCCTAGGAGCATTTTGATAAATTTCTGCAGAGCAGTCTGCGATCAAGCATGAGCAGTGTAATTAGACTCTGAAAGGACAAACAGAAGGAAAAATGGGTTAAAATTAGATTGTTGGTTTCAACTCAGAGGAAGGGGTGGGTGAGGTACCACATTGATGTTTCAGAAAGACCTGCAACGGGGATTCAACTCTCCAACATCTTTACTGAGAATGTGGACAAAGGAATCAGAGTGTCTTCAAATCTTTGGAGGACCCTAAACCATGAAGTTTAATACTCTGAAAGAGACAATATGATCTATAATGATATCAACAATCTGAAAAAACAGTGTAGTTGATTGGAGATAAATACAGTTATACAAAGACATGGGAATGAAACTTACACAGATGGGGCCAAATATCCAAGAAGAAAATCAGGGTCCCTGCCAATTAGAGGCTTCACAACCCTTACCTGAGGTCCAGAACTAAGAAGTGGACAGCATGGAACAAAGGGCCTTTATGTCTTCTAGCTGCAAACATCATTAGATGGTGTCTGCATCTCTGTCCCCTCCCACCACTGTCTCTTCACAGAGATGAGACAGGACCAGCGTCGGGTCAGCCAGCTCAGTTCTCCACCTTTATTCCCAGATGTCCTAGAAATACTTGCCTTTCCTACTTGCGTAACACACTGGAAACTCTTCCCTCTACTATTCCTAATATAGTAGAATATATGGGGAGGTGGGGGGCAAATGCTCTTGTGCCTTCCACACAATTTACAAAGGATGAAATGTGGAGTCAGGCAGCAAAGGTGGGTCCCAGGTGTGCTAACCCCTCATGTGGGGCTCCTCTGCCATGGTGGCCTGCCTGCCCGACTCTGAGCTTTCAGACACACCGTTCCCTGTGCCTGGGAGCTGGGGGAGCTGGAGGGGCTGGAGACTGGCAGGGGTGGGGCGGGAGAGTGTCCCACTGGTGCCAAAGCCCTGATCACACCACGGCTATGCCTCACCGCTGTTTCTACTCGAGCTGCCTGGTGCCCTGGCTGCTGTCTCGACTGCTCTTGGATGCCAACTCTCTGCTACTCAGCCAAGGAATCTCAGCCCCACTCCAGGGGTGTCCCGTCTAGTCCCACAGATTGACAGGAAGTGCCACCCTGAGGCTCCCTGGTGGACAGAGGGCTCCTAGAGATCTTCCTTGGATCTTTACCCCGGACACGAAGGTGTTCCCGGTTTCCGACGGGGCCAGGTCCAGGCAGAGCACGTCAGCCCCATGCCCATGGAAGCTCTGCAGCAACTGCCCACTCTCCACATCCCACAGGGCACACGTGCCGTCGCCGCTCGCCGTCAGGATCTGCCGCCGGAGAGGACAGGAAGGGGGTGAGTAGGGCCTCTGGGGAAGCCAAGCAGATGCTTGCAGTTCCACAGGGAAGAGAAGGCTCCTTACACACACACACCTGCTGAATCTGGACTCAAGCACAGAACTCATTCGCCAGGACTGAGAAAGACAGTCTATTTTTGACACCCTTGCTGTCGCGAGCTGTTTACACGCCCGTCCTCTTGCAGAGGATGAACTCTGGAGGCCTTCCTGCAGTACCTGCCTGTCTGACCCGCGGGAAGCGCTCTGCGAATGCCTGCTGAACAGAACCCCCAGCGGGCCCCACAGGCAGCCAAGCCCAGCACGGAGCTTCCCAGACATTAACGTGCACCCACACCCAGGGCTCCCCGGGCCACTGAGGGGTGCGGACACACACATGCAGGACCAGGCCTCCGCTGTGTGCGGACCGCGTCCAGGCCCTCTGCTAGGTGGCAGGGCTGCAGAAAGACTGTGCCTTGGCTGCTGCTCTCCTGGGGCTCCGTTAACAGGATTGGCAGGAGACCCATCTAACTCCCTGTCCCCATGTTAACCAATTCCAGGGCAAGCCACACCTTCCCAGTGCTGCATTAGACAATACTGAGACCAAATAAAAATAAGCTAGCTGCCTGCTCCAGGAAATAACCTGATCCTGTGAGATAAGACTCTGAACTAAACAACTTATTTATCAGGACTAATAGCTTTGTAAAAAATTCATGAAACAGAGTGTGCTGTGCTAAGTCGTTTTAGTCATGTCTGATTCTTTGCGACTCCATGGACTATAGCCCACCAGGCTCCTCTTTCCATGGGTTTCTCCAGGCAAGAATACTGGAGTGGGTTGCCATTTCCTTCTCCAGGGAATCTTCCCAACCCTGGGATTGAGCCTAGGTCTCCTGCGTTGCAGGCGGATTCTTTATCATCTGAGCCACCAGGGAAGTCCTCAGTCTAGCTCTTTAATGGAAATTTTTCATGGCATACTCTTTGATCAAAGAAATGAATAGTTTTTTAAAAGTTAACAGTAAATTCTTAATCTTTAAAATATTTTAAATATTTGTGATCTTCATTATAATGTAAGTAAAAAATAAAATTTAAAAATCAAACATTCATTATGATAAATGCACTAAACAGATCCTCTAACGCCACCGTCACTCATTTATTTTGGAATGCAGAGAACGTGCAGGTCTTACACCAGCCTTTTGAGGTTTTCATTATTCATCTTAGATCCCAGGGCTGGAAGAATGCTTAGTTCATGAGTTCAGTGGTAGCCAAAAAAGGCCATACATCTGAATCACCTGTGAAGCTTTGTGTTAATAATAAAATAATAAGAGCTAGCATTTATTGATATTTACCAGGGTTTATACCAAGTACTTCTGGGAGAAGGAAATGGCGACCCACTCTAGTATTCTTGCCTGGGAAATCCTAAGGACAGAGGAGCCTGGTGGGCTACAGTTCATGGGGTTGCAAAAGAGTCAGACACAATTTAGCTACTAAGCAACAACACTAAATATTTTACACAAATCATCTCATTTAATGCTCAGAAAACCTCACGAGGGAGGAATATACTACCATCCTCACTTGTAGGTGAGAAAAACGAAACACAGAGGATAATAAAACCTCGTTTAGAATTGACCAGCTAGAACATCAGACTAAACATCTTCTGTTGCTTTGGCTGTTCCTCACACCCAAAGACATGAGGAGTGGCCACGGCCACAGCCAGGGCCACCGTGCCCCCTACTGCACAGACCTGCGAGACTCCTGGTGGCCAACAACAGGGTCAACACTGCCTCCCAATCAGAACACTGCCCCCAGACAGCAATCAAACAATTACCCATCGCCAGGTCTCCCTACCACTACCCTTGCTGGCCCACCTCCTGACATCAGTCAGCTGAAACCAGAATGGGCTTTAGTCTGACTCAAGACAATCTCCTCCTTCAAATAAACCCAACCTGCTCCAAGCCCTGCAATGGCTCCCTACCATCTGTAGGGTCAGCTCCACCATGCAGGGATGTAACCTAGTCCTCCTAACTCTCAGGCTGCCTGCCTCCCACAGTGCTCCCCACACCTCACTGGCAACACACTGTCCTCCAAGGCAGCCTCTCAAGGCATGTTTATGACCCCCCGCTCCTGCTCCAGGCTCCCAGCCTCCCCGTGTTCAGCCACCACTGGGAGCTGGCCATGTGGGTGGTGGCATCTATGAGGGTTTGCTGGAGAGACGTGACAAAGGCACTGCAGGATGTTTAGAATTCTGAAAGAAACCATAGCTTACGTATTACCTCCACTTTGTGGCTTATTCAAAGCAGGGCACAGATTTTCTATATGAAGCCTTCTCTTTTCACATTTGTTAAAACGGAAGTCTAATGTAGGTATAGTGAGGTGTGTCAAATGCACAACTCTGAAAGTCAGCACCCAGTGAAATTCTATACACAGGAGGGCCTTGGGACCACTTCTCCAACTCAAGACAGGAATTTCCACCACCCCAGAAGGTTCCCTGATCCACTCCCACCCCCACCAACTCAATTTAGAGGAGGAGGTTTGATATGGCA